TACTGAGCTACAGTAAGGATATTTTGGGGTAGTTGCTTACTGAGATATTAACAAATACACTTAATTAGTTTCAGAATACACAGACACTTTACCCAATACACTAATTATTTTAGAATAATTAGTTTTACATGAAGTAACCTTCAAAAATGCTAAACTTACAAGTAGTTAATTTATTTATGCTTTAACTTGAGTTTTTTCCTCAGTTGAGAGATGAATCAAGAGATGCTGAATTAAATTTTTATTTCATTTTCATTTTTGTTATCAAATCATAATTATCTCTGTAGGGTCTAATGACTTAAATTGCAACCTTTCTCTAAACTCACAAACATTTTGTATTGTCTTGAAACTTTTGTGCATTTCTGTGTTAATTATAATTACTGTTTAGACAGGAAATTATAAAGTAAACTAAACTTTTACCAATTTAGTGTGAAAACGAACAGGATCATACAAGTTTGTGCAAGAAATATCACTTGAAATGGTCAGAATTGAGGAATCTGAAACATCTGTAAGAATTTTCGCTCTTCAAAACTTCCCTCTGGACCATTGTAAAAAATGACAGTGAATTTAATGGTAAAAGACTGTAAAAATGCTACAGTAAAATCCTGTTAAATGGTTAACGGTAAATTCCCCTACTATATACGGTGAAAAACTGTATTGGACATTACATGTAATTTTACGGTAGTATACCGTTTTTGGAAGTGAAAAATACCGTATAATTTACAGTGAATAACCGTAAATTGACATTCCCAGAATTCTCTGCGTTACATTTCAAATTTTATGTATTTTTTTGTTGTTGTAATAACTATGTTTCTTCTTAGTTTTTTCTTATCAGTTTTGTACAACAGTTTTGTATGTTACATCTAATCTTGTTAAATTAATATTTATTGCATTATTTCAGTTTTATGTGTGTTACCATGATGGTGTTTAGTGTTTGTGTGAATGACACTTTGCACCTTCTATATATGTTGATGTTTAAAAGCTGCTTGTGATGGGCTTTGGTTCATCATGTGACTTTTTCATCACCACCTGCTTTTAGTGGTTATCAGTGTATTACAAAGGTACAAAACAGATTTCAGTACTTCAGTAGGTTGGTATATTAACATTATATCAGTTAATGAAATTACGGTATTTAAATGTAAATTAAAGTTAAAACCGTTTACGGTAAAATTCTGGCAACCACAGCTGCCATTTTTTTTACCGTGAAATTGAAGTTTTTTTACAGTGAATTTTTTTAAGAATAATCTGAATAAAAAACTCCATAAATGTTGCAACATCTCAGACCATTCAAAGTACATTTACTTTGTGGTTTGGGGTATTGCAGCATTCATGAAATGAGCCCATTTGTAGGGGTTTTTGCAAAGATTTTATCCAGTTTGATTAATGCATTTATTATGATTTAAAAGTGGACACTTTCAGCAAATCCATTATTTATTAAATTAATTTTTTTTAATATATTTTGGGGAGGGGGGAGGGGTTATTGAAACCTTTTGCATTTGTTTTTCATGGTCGACCAGCCTCAAAGTGAAACGGTGTAAGTTTCCAGTCTCTGGATCCAGGTTTTCGAGGACAGTGTGTGGAGAGAGATTACTGTAGATGTGCAGTTCAGAATCAGCCTTACAAGAGATTGAGCTGTATGACATCAGCGGAGTGGGCAGCAGATACTGGAAGTTATAAAAACACGTGGACAGTAACTGCAGGAGAGAACACTCTCCCTTGGGCAGGAGGAATATACAGAGAGAAATGTGTGTGGTTTTATGGATGAGAGGGAGAGGGAGAGAGGTAAAAAAACAGGCAAAACCAGAGAAAGAGTGTGTGTTTGTGTGTGTTTGTGTTCTGAGTGGGCTTTTCTTCTTCTGTGAACCTCCTCATTGTTATGCAACTCACAGAGCGAGAGACTCACCCTGGACAGGACAGCAAAGTGTTTTGGAAAAGACTCTCTCTCTCCCTCTCTCTCTCCCACTCACACACACACACGCACATACATACACACCAGTGCACACACCTGGGTCTCAAGGCTGTCTCTTTTCAGAACTCGTGTATAAAATGCACACACATACACACACTCTCTAGAAGTTTAAAGAAATAGTTCACCTAAAATGATTTTGTCATCATTCACTCACCTTCCTGTTGTTCCAAACCTGACTTTGATTCTTCTTGGAATATAAAAATAATTGTTCCATAATGTCCTGGTTGCTATTTAACATGCAATGAATCTATATTCTTACTCTTCATGATGTGATTTGAGCCAGTTGTAAATAAATTATGATTTATTCAATGTAGATTTATTGTTATTGTCCCATTTTCTCCTCTACTTTTTCTCTTTTTTTGACAGCTATATATATAAAAATATATATACATGTATAATTTTATATATATTTTTATCGATTGATCTGGAACAGGCTTCTATAAAAAAGCGCCATAAAAGTACTGTAAGTGTAGTACATGACTTCTGGCTATATCAAGTTTTCTGAAGTCATGCAATAACTTCAGACTGAAATTGAATTTGTTATTCACCGAACAGCTTTCCTTCTGCAGTAGCTGTCAAATCTCATTTGCATTCAGATATGACCAGTGGCTATGTTTACATGTACACCAATAGTCTGATTATTGGCAATAATCAGAGAGCATAAAAAAAGAGTACATGTCTACATCTTCAATACCATTTACCCCTACCCAAAACACAGAATGTTCGTTCAAAAATTTCAAAAAGAGTAGGTCTGTTTGTTGCAGCTATTTATTATTTGCCTGCTTCAGTTGCAGAATGCTTTGTATTTGGAAGGGATTCTTTTATTTAGTGTTTTTGTTTACCCTACATATACCCCGTGTCTTCATTTTTAGTGTTTCCTACCATCGGTAAAACACATGTCCATGTCACATAAAGCTGTAAAAATAAACTTTTTATTGCTGTCCCCGAAAGAGTGGCCTCTCATAGCTGTCACTGAAATTCACAGGGCTTCAGGCAACATTTTTATTAGTGGACCCCATTTCCTTAAGCCAGATGAGTAGGCTATACCATGAAGGACCCAAGTGGGGCCCCCTGATCACATGGCCCAGGACAGCATTCTCAGTTGCTGGCGGCCATGTGGCTTTTTCTATTCTGCTATGATTTCAGACCTGTTCACAAGTGTAACACGGCAACACTATAGTACATGGTGGAATAAATGCAATTAAAGCATAAACATGCTTGTGTACTGCACATTTTACTGTGATTATGGTTACTCTAATTATAAGCATAATCACATTAGCATAATTACAGTATTCTGTTTCCATGAGGTCCAGCTTAACCACAGTATTGCTTTAAAGGAATACTAAATGAAAATGTGCTGAAAATGTACTCAGCCTCAGGCCATCCAAGATGTAGATGAGTTTGTTTTTTTAGCAGAACAGATTTGGAGAAATGTAGCATTACATCACTTGCTGACCGATAGTGTTTTTTTTTACCCTACATATTCCCCGTGTCTTCATTTTTAGTGTTTCCTACCATCGGTAAAACACATGTCCATGTCACATAAAGCTGTAAAAATAAACTTTTTATTGTTGTCCCCGAAAGAGTGGCCTCTCATAGCTGTCACTGAAATTCACAGGGCTTCAGGCAACATTTTTATTTGTGGACCCCATTTCCTTAGGCCAGATGAGTAGGCTATACCATGAAGGACCCAAGTGGGTTCCCTGATCACATGGCCCAGGACAGCATTCTCAGTTGCTGGCGGCCATGTGGCTTTTTCTATTCTGCTATGATTTCAGACCTGTTCACAAGTGTAACACGGCAACACTATAGTACATGGTGGAATAAATGCAATTAAAGCATAAACATGCTTGTGTACTGCACATTTTACTGTGATTATGGTTACTCTAATTATAAGCATAATCACATTAGCATAATTACAGTATTCTGTTTCCATGAGGTCCAGCTTAACCACAGTATTGCTTTAAAGGAATACTAAATGAAAATGTGCTGAAAATGTACTCAGCCTCAGGCCATCCAAGATGTAGATGAGTTTGTTTTTTTAGCAGAACAGATTTGGAGAAATGTAGCATTACATCACTTGCTGACCGATCTGCAGTGAATGGGTGCCGTCAGAATGAGAGTCCAAACAGCTAATCCACTTTAAAGCACACAAGTCCAGTCCATCAGTTAATATCTTGTGAAGCTGCTTGTTTGTAATAAAACTGCCATTAACTGCCAATGTCGCTTCTGGACAAAATATCAATAATTCATGATAACATTTTCTCCAGTAAAAAAGTCCATCCCCCTGTTTTCCTTTCACATCAACATCCACTGACATATTTGTTTTGGACTGTTTTTGATTGTAAACTGTGCTTGATCCGTATATATTTCACTCCTCAAGGCAATTGGAGAAAGCAATATTAGGGATAGACGACTCATATTTTAGCCGGAAGCAATGTTTTGAGTTAAAAATGTCTCAATGATAGATTTATTACAGACACTCAGCTTTTCACTCCACAAGATGTTAATCGATGGACTGGAGTCATGATGATTACTTGGATGGACTGAGGATCAATAGATTAAACAAATTTTCATTTTAGGTGAAATATTCCTTTAATGACATTTAAAAGGTGTAAGATTTTCAGTGAATTACAGCATAAATCTCCTTCGCACAAAACTGTAATTTCACTTTAGTTGCTTTTTAGCGCCTGAAATCCACTGGTCACATGTAGTCACATGCTTTAATTGTGAGGGGGAAAAAGCAATAACCATTCTACCTTTTGCAGAAGAAAAAAAGTAAAGTTCTGGAGCGACCTGAGGGTGAGTAAAGGATGACAGAATGTTTATTTTTGGGTGGTGAGCTATTCCTTTAACTGAAGATGTTCCTAAATACATGCAGCCCACCACAGTCGTTGCACGCGCGCGCGCAGGCTTGGATTTGGGGCGGACTTTAGGACCATGGAGAGTTCTCCCACAGCAGCGAGCGCACACAGCCCGTCTTGAAGAGGAAACCCCCACAGGAGCTCTAGCTGCCGGATACCTGAGACATCTCAAAGCATCCCTCTGACCGACGAGCGCACGGCGCGCCACGGAATGCGCAGGAGCGACCGACTGTCCGCTGGACGAGGGCGCACGGTCAAGCCATGGGTCCTTCTTCGGCACCTTTGAGTTCTTAATGCATTATGATGTCCTAAAGTCATAGAGACCCTTGGAAATCCTTTGAATTCTCTTCAAGGCAGCGTCTGTATTGGAATAAACTATTAGCTGGTGAATTTTTCTGTTCGGATGGATGATTTGGTCAGATTCCTCATTCATCGTGATGCGCGTTCATTCCTTTTCCAAGTGTCTTATTGACTGACCGCGGATCAATTTTTGGACGTGGGCTGACGGTAAGCTCGCGTTCTGTTTTAGTTACCCATGCGAAGTTTTAAGTGTGTGTTTTTGGAGAGGTTTCATGGTGATGCGGGGGCGGCGAGTTGATTTGCTTCGGCTCGTGAAGATGCCTATGTACTCTAACCTTTACAAAATATCGAAATCGTGTAAATGTGGAGTGTGATGCTTAAATAATGACAACTCATTTTCATCAAGGCAGAATTACAGAGTGAGACCTGTCAACAACATGTCTGGATCATATTTCACCTAAATGTAATGAAATAAATAGGCAATTATGTTTTGAGAAAGCAGACAATGAGCCTTATTTTGTATCAGTAGGATCTGATTTATTGTGGCATTATTTTCATGACTATTTCACGAGTATTACATAATTATTATGTAATTATATAAAAGTAAAGTGTGGTCTTTTTTGCTGTCCTACTTGTTTTTCAAAATCAAGGTGTCTGGGCAGGATGTTTCTTTTTAGGCTATGCATTGCAGTAATGTGACTCCAGTAAGAATCTTCATTGATATTTATAAGAATTTTAAACAAACTAATAAGTAAAACATCCGATATGAGGGCGAACATATCCTTCAATGACATACAAATATAAAAATATTTTTAGAAACGTATTAATGGTTCTACAAGTACGCAAATATCTATATTGTTGTTTTTTGTTGTTGTTGTTTTTTTCAATTTATGGTACAATATAACACGGACATTTGTTCTTCGGATTTACCCACACCTAAAACAGCATTTCAGGTGGGAATCAGTTAAGATCTCAGTGAGAGACGCGGACTTTGCAAACGCGCAAAAACAAGACAAGGTCTTAATCGTGGTGTTTTTATTACTGACAAAACGAAGGGTTTAACATGTTATTCCAATTGTGCGGTCTATTGGCAAACCACTGTTTTATATAACCTCGTTTTGGTTTTGTTTGACTCCAAATAAATTTAGAAAACGCGACGTGATGTGCGGCAGCGTTTGAGATGGCTTGTTTAAAGGCGGTGTTTGCGGGAGTATTGCACCCTCCTGCGATGGTACGGACAGAACACGCCAATCTCCTAATGCTAATGATTACTTTAGCTTATTCCCTCAAATGTGTGCCTAGAATACACAGATGAAATGTTGGCGAAAATTGTCTTTGACAGCGCCATTGACTCCTCTTAAAGAAACTGTCACTCAGGTTTGAATGTGGTATGGGGCACAGCCTGGGTTTATTGTGTTGTTGTGTGTGCGGTTATAAAGAATGCATCGAGTCCCATGGTGGGGCTCCTATTGCCTATAGGGTGAGTTTGAAGATGGACCCACACACACTTCCCTACTTAAGTTTCCAAAGAGATCTGGCTATAGCGCATGCCATTACCGGCAGCGTTTGGATGGCCTATTAATAAACAAGGCATGTTCTCTCATGGGCTTTACTGAATGGCCAGGGGCATCGGTTAGCCACTTGTCGATAAAATCTGTGAAGTAGAATCTGCACAAGAACCAATACATGTTAAAATGCACTTTGATGTGATGTGGCTATTTGACTGTGAGTGGTGCTGAAAGAACAGCTCCCTTTTTCAATGAACTACAACACATCTGTCAGAACCTTCTCTGCCTTGATATATCAGCAGGTCAACTCACATATCACTACAATGACAAAATCACTATGACTGATGCCCCTGATCTGTGGGAAGCTAAAAGTCACATCTGTGGCATTCTGATAAAAGTATGCATGTGTAATTTAAAGCCTGCGTCGCAGAATCCACACTTAAATTGGACTCCATATTGCAGTTGAGTTCTGAGTCTGTAGCGCTTTTGAATTTGAGCGGAATTGGTGCATTTTTCAGAGTCAGCCGTTGCTGTTAAACGGCTCAAAATCTTGGATGGGGTTAACTGTGGAAGTTCATAGGTTTCCTGAGTGTTTACATGTATGAAATATAGTTGTATTGTTTTCCCGGCGAATAAAACGCACTCATGAGACCCCCCCCTCCCAGTTTCTTAGGGACCACTTTACTGGGCACAATATCAATAAGAAGCATGTCGCTATCTGTGTGTATGTGTGTGTTTGTGTGCATAATGAGGAGAGTATGCTGTGGGAAAGCCCTCATTATAAAACAGTTTGAGCTCTCGGGCCATTAAAGTCAAGTACAGCGAGTCAGGAAGCGAGTAGAGGATGCTCAGGTGGATTGCTAGATGATTGAAACAATAAGCTCATTCTCTATTGTCTTGTCGGTAATGGCTACTATTGGAATCCATTGGGTTGAGGGCTCTTGTCAGATCTCATCCTGGTGATGGTTGTGACCTGAGGTCCAAGCTGATTGATTGGGTCTTAAAAGAATAGTGATCGATTAGTAATAAGAGAAGAGAATTTATTGATTTGGGTTGGTGAGAAGTTGTTGGTCTTTTATGAAAGTCCACTGTGGTTTCCTGACCTTGATGGTGCGTTTTACACATGGGGCGCATCCCATAGCATCCCATATTTTCATAACACGTAGGGAATTTAAATTTGAAGGCCGCACAAACAACACATGCACGCAAATAAATAAATACAATGAGTTCATTTATTCGTATATTTGTAGAATATGTAGAATATGCAAGTCGAGTTGCATTGATGCATGCACGCAAACTCATTTACTGCTGGTTTTCCTGTTGCTGATGAAGTCTGACATGTAATCTTTCCTTGTTTTTTTTCTCTAGCTCTCTCCCTCTCTATTACTGTCACTTTCTCTCTCCCTTAAGACTGTCAAACTGTCAGAATCCTCATTGATTCTCACTGAATAGTACTGAAACCTGCAGTGTGTGAATCTGTATGAGTGTGTGTTTGTGCAGACCCAATTTTGTCTCATATGTAACAGGGCGTTTGCAGTACAACTAGAGTTTTCAGTTTTACAGCACTTCCTGCACTGATTTTACTCATAAAACAGCTCTGAATGTTTCTGAAACACCAATGTTCGGTCATTTATTCATTATTGATTTCAGACCGATGGCAAAATTCAACACCTGTTCTCTGTTTAAGGCCTCAAAGTTTCTTGATTTTATTCATTTGGCTTATAGTGGCCGCAGTTTGAGAGAAGCCTCATTTTGATTCTCTTTCACCATTTAACCTTGGAGTTTAAGCTCATGACAAACGCAATGGATTCTTGGGCGGACAACCTTTGATGGAATTGGGAATCTGCCTCAATTTTCAGTCCTCTCCTTGCAAATGAGATGGTGCAGTCATTTACATTAGCGAAACTACGTCAGGAACCTAGACATCAGTTAGAAAAGTAGTTCCATAATGACAATCACAGTAATTCTGAAAGCATTGGTCAGGATGAAGATTTGGAGGGAGCTAGAATACTAATTTCCCAGAGGAAAACACAGGGAAAAAGACAGATTTAAACACACTGTACAGTGGGGTTCTCAGTCAGACCACTAGTGAAAATTCAAAGCAGTACTTTTCACTTCAAATTATAGTAGAATAGTATTTTGAGAGGAAAATTTAATTGGAAAATTAATGACATGCAGAATGTCTCAGTATTTGGTTTGTTCTCCTTTAATGACAGCAGCACTTGAGCTGACATGAACTCCACAAGAAAAAGCTGATGATCAGCATGATTCGAGAATATTCCAAAGAACATCTTGTGCTTAAATGCAAGAACATTTTTATCTTTTGTACAAAGGAATTCACATGGTCAATTTGACAAATTTGCTCAGTAGTGACCTAGACCTCTTAAATATTTATAATTTATTTTTTGTTTCAAAAAGATTTCCGATGTGGTCTCAGACCCCACAGTATATAAATGATGTTTTATTAACAAAGTTCGGGAGGAGCACGTTCAGATAATTAACCCGGCCTATTCATCATCAGCAATTACACCATCTATCCTATCAGCTCGAGAGAGAACTTCTATAAATAACCCAAGCCATCTTACCTTCATTCTCTCTACAGTATTCCAGCGTTCGGTTTGCTCTTTTGCCTTTTTATCACAGACTACATTTTTTTCGCGTCCAACGATGAGACCGATACTGGGGATTTTTTTCAGATCCTCCGCCGCAATTTGCCAGCCCCATGATCACTCCTTCTCCGCCAGACACGGCCGCCGAGCACCAGGCTGCATCGCGGCCGCTGCTCTTCTCGGCCAGCCACACGCTCTCCACAACGCCGAGGCTTCCAACTTCCCCGGCATCCTCGTATCATTCGGCCGTACCAGCAACTCCTCCGATCGGAAAGTGGACAGTGTTTAAGCCAGAGGCAAACGCTGATTAATTCCAACGCACCGTTCTCGCAGAGGGTAAACAAAGCGGATCTGTACGATCTATTCGTCACCCTGCAAATTAGCCAACCTCACTCCTAAATCCACTCCAGCCGTCAAGGCGGCCAATAGGCCATGCAAAGCCCCGAGCTCGCCTCGCTCGACACCACCATCATCCCGCACAAGACCCGGCTCTCCTCGAGCGCTGGGTCACAACCTTTGATGGAATTGGGAATCTGCCTCAATTTTCAGTCCTCTCCTTGCAAATGAGATGGTGCAGTCATTTACATTAGCGAAACTACGTCAGGAACCTAGACATCAGTTAGAAAAGTAGTTCCATAATGACAATCACAGTAATTCTGAAAGCATTGGTCAGGATGAAGATTTGGAATGAGCTAGAACACTAATTTCCCAGAGGAAAACACAGGGGAAAAGACAGATTTAAACACACTGTACAGTGGGGTTCTCAGTCAGACCACTAGTGAAAATTCAAAGCAGTACTTTTCACTTCAAATTATAGTAGAATAGTATTTTGAGAGGAAAATTTAATTGGAAAATTAATGACATGCAGAATGTCTCAGTATTTGGTTTGTTCTCCTTTAATGACAGCAGCACTTGAGCTGACATGAACTCCACAAGAAAAAGCTGATGATCAGCATGATTCGAGAATATTCCAAAGAACATCTTGTGCTTAAATGCAAGAACATTTTTATCTTTTGTACAAAGGAATTCACATGGTCAATTTGACAAATTTGCTCAGTAGTGACCTAGACCTCTTAAATATTTATAATTT